GTTATTGTGACTAGTTTACAATAAATATTATATTTAGACAAATACATTATTTTACTTACATTAGAAGCTTTAAAAAGATATTGAATTGATTTCTCCTTGTGTTTTCTTTAGTTTTACATCTGATTTGTATACCGTTTTACAATCTGTAAAGAAGTAAATCTTGCTTTGATGGTTTTTGTCACTCATGTTACTTTTTTCACATTATTTTGTTTCTTTTCGCATATTTAAAAACGGACCTAATTAGTTTGTATGTTACGCTTTAAAAAGGAAAATACCTGCGTTATTAATTTTTATTGATTTTTATTAGTTTTTATTAATTCTTTTTAATTTTTTTATTTATTTTTATTCATTTTTATTTATTATTTAGTTTTACGGTACTCCCATTTCCCCGTTCTTAAAATGTGAAAATCCAAAAACCTTGAAATAATGAGTAGCTAAAATTTTAATTTTCAAGTTCCTACCTTTAAAAAACCGAAAGTCTCATACAAACTTTCACCTCTCGTTTCTCCCCTTAATGTCCATTTATTTATGATAAGTAGGTAATTGGAATTGTCAATTTTCAATTTCCTACCTTTAAAAAAACCAGTACCTTCATATACAACCTTTCTCCCATTACTCCCCTTTTTGCCTTTTCTTCCATTTCCCCCTTTCGCCTTAAAATATGAAAATACAAAATCTCTAAAATATACCATTATTTATTTGTGATGAGTAGCTTTAACTCCAATTTTCAAATTCCTACCTTTAAAAAAATTGATTACTTCCATACCAACTTTTTACCCCCGTTTTCCCCCTTAAAATGTGATAATCCAAAAACCCTGAAACACATCATTATTTATTTATCCTCAGTAGCTGTATTTCAAATTTTCATGTTTCACTACCACTATGCAAAAATCATGAATGATCCTTGCTCTGTGCAAAACAAAAACAAATTATCCCAAGGGAACCGTACATTTTCCGGGATAAAAGTAGCCTATGTGCTATTCTAGACTATAATCTATCTTTGTGCCAAATTTTATCCAGCTCCGTTCTTGCGTGATTGAGCAACAAACATCCATCCATACATCCAAAAATTTCTTGACTGGCCAGAAACTATTTTGAGAATGTTATATAAGAACTATCGAGGTATTGCTCTAATAAATGCATGCACAAAACTATTTACAGTTATTTTATAGCATTTACGTCTAGGGGAGGAAATAGATGAACCGCAATTTGGGATTGCTGTCGACTTTATAACTGCTGTTCGAGTCGACTTCAAATGAAGTCTGGTTAAGCAGCATCTACAGTTTGTAGAACTGCACTATACTGCACAGAGCTATCCCATCGGTTGCCGCATTAGAAAGAACAAAACGGCCGCTAATTTAAGTGGGGATGGTTTGTGCGAGTTTGTTTATGTAAGGGGCTAGCACACATTTTATGAATAAATCAGTACTTACATCTACGACGCTTTCCTGGAAATCGACTATTATAGTTCCAACGAGAAAAACACATTAAACTGATAACTGGCATTAAGAATGGAAATATTCCTCCCTAATGTAATTTTGAAAGCCTTTTGTTTGTTTTTAGAGCCTTATGTTAACTCAATACCGAATTATAACCATAAACAATCCTTGCAACAAGACTCCCTTACTCTCTCATAATAATTGAACACAGTGAATGGTTCCAATTTGATTTTTGTAAACAAAATTAGTCTAATAGTTGTTCATCTTTGGAACCTAGGTGTTTTTTTTTTCAATTTAGTAGGTATAAATTTTATTTTACGACTTAACTGTTTTATTTATTGAAAAAATTTAAAATAAAATAATACAAAAATAAAACATCGGACTCAAATGGCTCAACAACTGTTTCTGCCAAATATAAATCAATTTTTATAGAAGAATATTATTTAAAGTCCAGTTGTACAGTCCAAGTTCAAATCTGGTTTAGCCCAACTCTACTTGTAAACTACCATTTTAACCCCACATATCACCTGCTTTTTTAACCCTTCATCAGGCGCGTAAGCTTATGAAACGTGGTTAGTCGCGATGGGTTTGCCTGACCCATGAGTACTAAATTTAACTCTCTTGTCTAATGATTAAATAATATATTTCACTTGTATAAAATAAGTATCATTATAATGTATGGCAATAATTTCTATTTACTTATAAAATGAAATTATTATTCGAATTCAGAGGCAGTTTATTCCACATTGTTTACTTCTAAGTATTTTTGACAGTTTTTACGTCTCGATTCAAACACAAATATGTAAGAGAGTATTATTCACATTGGGTAGATCAGCCATAAACAGGGACACCTGACATAATAAATGAGCATTTTTGGAATGCAAAAAAAATAATGCTGTCCTTAAAATTCAGGCAACTATTCTTAAAAGTTGCCCATGAGATGTCATAGAACTACAATGTCCTAACAGTAATAATTTAAAAAATAACTGAATAATTATTATACATTATCGTGCTACCAGACCAATACGCGACTAACGAAGGGTTAAATACCAATGTAAAATTTTTTTTTAACTGTAAATAAAGACGTTTTAAAACTAACTAACCTTGCCGACAGAAATTATGATTTTTGAGGTATTTATGACAGTAAAACATTTTTAATTGGTGTGTTCAAGTACCAGTAGAATTTAGCTAAATCACGATTTGAACGGTGTACAACTTGTCCTAAGAGATAAATTGAATTTGGAAAAAATCAACTATAACTACAACAGTATTTCGGCACAAAAAACACCTTCAATAAAAGGCGAAAATTACATAAAATTAGTTTTATTTTAATTCACGTATCACGTTAACATTGTGTGCATATGTCTGCAAATCCCTATACACCACACTACATTAGCGGATACTCTGGGGTCTATTCTGTAACAATTCCTTTATATTTAACGGCCTTTAAAAATATTTTCTTCTTTACTTCATTATTTAAAGGGATCTTTAAAATACATTAGAGGACTATCTTAAAGAAATCTGTTTAAATAATGACAAGTAAATTAACGAATACGAACATATTTTTATAGGCCGTCAATATTTTTAAAGGCCGTTAAATATAAAGGAATTGTTACAGAATAGACCCCACAGCGGTTTTAATATACCAATCTAGCGGGTGTGCGACGTGGATTGTTGGCAACACTGTCTACAGCAATCGAACATAGCAGTCCGTCTATCTCGGACCTAAAAGGTAGGAAGGCTTCATTGATTTCAAGTGTGCATTCGATAACGCAATCACGAAATTCGGTATAATTTAGGTAGATAAGAATTTTTTAAAACCTATACGATGGTTCAGCAATTAGAGTACAAATTTAAAGTGAATGCTGAACATTTCGTATTTGTAAAGGACTGCTACAAAAAGAACCACTCAGTCCTCCGCTCTTTTCTTTATTCTGGACATAAATGTTATTCAGTAATGAATTACAAGTAAACAAACAAGAAATTAATAAAAAGTGAGTAGTGATTTCTTGTTTCTTCTTTTTTAAATATATCCAACTGTTTGTTTGGACAAGTGCACTTTTCAGACTTGTCCGTTGGACATGCCTGTAGATTTTTCCGAGATACCCTTTTCTATGATATTGTGATACAAGTGTATAACTCCAGCTTTAAAGCACAAAACAATTAAATTGTAATGGCATGATGCGTTGCATAACAATAAATAAATGGCACATTAATCTTTATACACTAAGGCAATTTAAAAAGAGTAATTTATGAAAGCTAATTGGTAAAATTAAAGATATTATAAATTATAACAAAAGATGTCAATAGATTGGCCACAAAAAATGGCTAATGGTGAATATAATAAGCAGGATCAAAAAGTAGACAACTCGAAAACGCCTCGTTAGCACTACGATACAGTAATGAGGTGATAGATGATATTATGCTCATAGCTGTTATCAGCATGCAAGGTGTGCAATCATTGACCCTTAAATAATTCCTTGTGCTGTAAACTGTGTGATGGATTCTTCTATGTTTATAAAACAACGTTATACCTAATTAAAGACTAAATTAAAAAACTGGCATTTATTAAGAAAAAAAAAAAAATACAAATCTTCAGCCTTAAACAATTAAAAACTTATTTCTACATATTGTTTATTTTTTGATAATTAAAATGCGTTTTTTATATTTATTCAAATGTTTCAAAAATAATTTTCAACTAAAATTAAAATAATTCTCTAATAACTAAATTATGATTGCTTTTATAAAAAATATTTTTGTTTTTTTTTTAATATGAAAGAAACCTAGTTAAAACTTAACAATATCTACGATATCTATATCACAAGTTAAATTAAAAAAAAAAAATACTCTTGAGGCCATTTGAAATGGTAACTTTAAAGTGTATTTCAATATTTGGCAACAAACTTATGATATTTTTGAGAATTAATAATATCTAACAGCCGTATGCATAGTCGATCGCCAGAGATTCATTTCGGCGTATCGCCAGCGAAAGCCCAAAAAGCTGGCGACTCGCCGGAGATTGTCACCGGAATGTCATGTCACGCAAGTTTTCATGTTCTTTTATAGGGAAAAATTTGATATTCGTTTATTATTTTTTGAGTTTTAAGAAATGAATCATGAATAAAATGCGAGAGATACCGGTGATAATCCCTATAAAAGAAAATAAAAACTTGCGTGAAATGACATTCTGGTGACAATCTCCGGCGAGTCGCCAGCTTTTTGGGCTTTCGCCGGCGGATCGCTGGCGATACGCCGAAATGAATCTCTGGCGATCGACTATGCATACGGCTGTTAGTATTATTAAAGTGTATTTCATTAAGTCGCATTTTTTATGAATTTAGACATTCAACTTAAACCTACTGAACATTTAACGTAACATTATTTTGATTGTCATGTTTGCCATAATGAATAACATGAGTGAGCAAAAAACAGGTACAAAACAGTCATATCATAATGGATATTATTGCATAGTTTATTAATAAGGGAAATATTCCCCATAGTTTGAAAATAATACTATCCCAATATCGAATAAAATATGAGAAAATGTATAATATATGAAGATTATGATGCATATTGTGTGTCCTTCTTGATATTACTAATTCTTTTAGTGGTATCTGTAATAATGTCCGGAGTTCTTTTATTAAATGGTGCACCACAAAATCCATTGAGACTTTCACAAAATTCGATGTATTCCAACCATTTGTCATCTGTCGCCAGGACGTGAGCACATCCTATGACTATTAATTTACTCATGGCTCTTGTTAGGGCAACATTGAATCTCTGGAAAAAATTTCAAATATTAATTTTTTATCTCCATTATTATTACAATTTGTAGATAGACTGACGAAAATATGGATTGTAACAAGAAAACGCAGAAACCAGCATGTATACAGAATGGTGTCCAATAGATTAGCGAATATATAGGGTTACTAACAATTAGGGTTGCCACCTGTTCTTTTTTGAAGCAAAATGTCCTTGTGACTTTTTAAAGCTTGAAATGTCCTTTTTTACGGCAATGTCTTTTTTGACAACACATATCTCTGGAAGAGACATTTTTGTTCAATATATAATAATAATAATACTCTCCCTAATTCACCCCCTTACGAGTGAATTTTAAGCTGACTTTTTTTAGAAACTCGGTAGAATGACGAGGATTTTTTTGATTACAAGCTCAGAAGAAGGATGAGGACTTTTTGTACACCAGAGCCCCTGTCAGCATCGTAGTCCTTTATTCACTTTTCAAAAAGGTGACCACCCTACTAACAATGCCTTATTTCCCAGTCTCCGGATTTGACGATCATTCTTCGGGCACGGGTTTACATTCAAATTCTCCAGAGGACCGCCTATCTGAAATAAACCCATTTCTAACTTTGAGGGCGAACCTAAGACATTCGGACCAGCAGGTGGATTTGAAAAGTGAAGAGCACAAAAAGGTCTTTTGTGTATTCCTCAACAAAATTATTTTTTCTCATGTTGGCAACCCTAAATATTTATAAAAACAATAAAACTCATAGAAGACGAGCGCCTAAAAGAAAAGAAATTGATGGCAATTGAACATTAGAACTTCTGGTCAAATAAAGAATGGTACATTAAATTTTGTAGAAACAAACCTTCTTGTTGTTAACAAAGCCCAACTTGTATTGGTGATCTTCTAATAAGAGATCCGGCTTTGCTCGGACAGTCGATATTATAATAATCCTTTTTTCTCGGCCTTGAAACGTTTCTGTAGTCCCAACTTCTACATCACCATAACCCTTGTTCTTGAGAAGAACTTTCAATTTGTGAACCTATAAAATATTTTTATTGTGTAAAAACGCTAATCTGAGATAAACATCTAAATAAGTGAGACGACTTACTTGTCTGACATAAGGTGTTACTACGCCAATATCAGATTGGCGCACTGAATTATCTTCATCTTCGAATTCTAAAGATAGGAGAGCTCGTACATACTTAATTGTCATCTGTAACTCCATCATATTATAGTAGCTAAAATAAAAATAAATATATGTTTTTAAACAGTCAAATATATCTGTTTTTTGTTTTTCAATACATGACTTTCTAGGAAATATATTGGAGTACAGTTGTTCATCTTATCTAAAAGAGTTTAGAATATTAATTAAAGATAAAAATTTCCACATACATTTTATTGAAAACATTTTTTTTTATATCTTCATTACAAAAAAAAATTAAGAAAATTTCAATTTTTCGCTTCCTTAAATTTCTCGAATACAATCCGTTTTAGGGAAATCATGCCAAATTAAAATTATGTAGACACAGAAACATAGTAGTATTATCTACTCCAATCTTGGAATCCTAATAATTGTATTTTATTTATAATTCTAATAATGTTGCAATATTATTTATTGTTGTTAGTCTAAATAATGCTTTTTTATCTTTGTTGAGGTCCAGTTATTGTTTTCTAGTCTAGTTATTGTTAATCTTAGATATTAATGATGTCCTGATGTCAAATGTAGAAGTTTACGATGTAGAAATGAAATAATAAAAACGCCAATTCATTTATGTACTAATGGATTATTTTTGCGTATACTGACAATACAATTTTTAATAGAATTCGTAATTAAAAAGTATATATGTTTAAATAAAAGTATATGAATTTGTAAAACAAGTAAAAAATTTTTATCGCTTAAACTAAAAAAAAAAAGTATAATCAATAAAAATCAATAATAAAATATAGGTAGGCAACAGTATTTACGGGAAAATGTATGAAAAGTTGTCTAAGTCTAATAAGTTGTCTTTGAAGATTTAACCTATTATGTCAAAATAAAAAAAAATACCATTAAATAATAGTGTGAAGTTAAAATGTATAAACAGAAGGATTGTTATTTATATTTTCATTTTTGTTCGAAAGAAAACAGAATGAATGATTAAACTGCTTTCCTATATGAGTAAATCACAAGTAAAGATTAGATTTATCTATGGAAACTTGGGTTGTGGCTGAGTTCTAACGACGAATTAAGTTTTCGAAAAAAAAAAAAAAAAAAAAAAAAAAAAAGTTAGAATTGAATGCTTGATAGGGTTAATTATTTGATAATAAAGTCGACTAAACAAATTTTCAATTAAATTTTAATTGATTGTGCTGTGAATGGATGTCAAAAAGTCAAAGTGGCCAAACGAAAAAGTGACTCTATCCAACTTTAATTTTTGGAATCTACAGTGACTCACAGCACAAGAACCCACCAATTCTCACAAATTTTATTTAAAAAGAAATATAGTATATTTCCTTGTGTTGTAGGTATTTTTATTTAAATTTAAATATATAAATTATTACACAATTAATTATTATTGTTATAACCGTCGTAATATAATTAAAATTAAACACTTATAACGTAATGTAATTTCTACAATGGCAATTACAAAAAAAATATAATTTTAATGAGAGGGATGTACTTGATGGATTGACAGCAATTTATCAATATTTGGCTTGAGTTTTGTAAGGAATAACCATAAATCTGCCCTTTCTGTAATATTCAATCTGCTCCTTTTTTTTGTTAATAAGTTTGTAACGGCACTAAAACTTTTTTCGACGAGATATGACGAGGGAAACGCTATCAGAAGCTTTTGCACAATTCCCCACAGTCCAGGATATTTTTCGGGCATTTCTGCCTGCACCAAAATTTTTGATACCCTCTTTTAAATGTCACTTTCAGCTCCTCATTAGTGCTAAGCTCGAGTAGCTCCTCTTGTAATATCACATTCTCCACTTCCGTTTCATTAAATGGATTTATAATCCATGGTGGTATTTCCATCGACAGAATATCTTCAAATCTGAATTTAAAATCATCATGCAGGGCAATCAAATGTTGAACGTATGTCTGAATATCTTCATCAATGCATTCTACCTGCGACAAGTTTGAAAACTGAAAATTCGCGCCGACCAATATTTTCCTTCATAAATTTCAATTTACCAAGAAAAGCTGAAATTACACTCTTTGTTTTTATTAAATTGAGGCTATCCCCTTGTAATTGTAAGTTGAGATCATTAAATTTTTTGAACAAATCTGTCAAATATGCGATGTCTGCTTTAAAATTAATCAAGTTTTTTTTTTTAATCAGCATCTTTACTTTCCAAAAACTCTAAAACTGAGTCAAAAAGTAAATAAAATCTTGATAAACATGCACCTTTCGACAACCAGCGTACTTCGGTAACAGCAATCGTTGGAAGTCTTCATCATTTTCATCGCACAATTGTGCAAATAAACGCTTATTCAATGCATTGCTTCTTATTTTTGTAACTGCATTAATCTCATATTAAAGCGATTGGTGCAATCTATCACTCAAATTTTTCGCTACTAGATGTTGTCGGTGGATAACACAGTGAATCGCAATTACCTCTGGCATAATTCTTTTAAGATGGCTTATAAAGCCACGATATCGCCCGACTATGGCAGGAGCTCCATCTGTTGCCATCGAAATAACGTTTGTGAATGGAATCGATTTTTCTTAAAAAAAAATCACTCAAAACATTAAATATTGATTCACCTTTAGTGTCCGTCTTCAAAGTTTTCGCGAATAGTAGCTCTTCATGAATTTCTTCGCCCATAACAAATTGAACATATGCCAATAATAATGCTTTATTGCCAGGTAAAGTTGACTCGTCCAGTGAATAGAAAAATGAATTGTTCGTAGATAAACTTTCAACATCAGAGCTCATTTCATCAATACGTCTTTGTACAGTGTTGTTACTCAAAGGAATTCTTTTGAGTTTGTCAAATGAATGAATGATAAGTAATGAGATATTGTAAGATGCCCGCAAGCAATCATCGTTGCTTTCAGACGTTGAAGATAACATACTGTGCACAGTGGGTCTCTCATACTTTTCCTTTGTTTGGAAATATTTCAAATTTTTACCTAATTTATCAGGATGACACCTTCTTAGATGATCTTCCAGCTTTGATGGTTTCATAGTCATTGCTCAAAACTTTGTTGCATAAAAGGCATGTGGGCAATCGTTTGTCTGCCTTTGATGGAAGAAAACAAAATTTTAAATATTCAACACTGTACTGACGACACTTACTTAAATTCGGCCATGTTTTATATCAATTACCTACCTGTAAATGTGTAAGTAAATAAATAAAAAAAAACTTTGTTTTAGTAATCTTAAGACGATTCGAACTTAACAGGATATGGCTATTTTAACATAATATGATTAATCAATTATTATAAATATTATGAAATAAACAAAGTTCCGGCTGCAAACTGTTTCTATTTATTAAAAGCAATAAATCGCTAAGATCTATAATAGAGTTTTATGAAAACGGCTAAACTTATTTTAATGTTATATAAAATTATTATTTCATTTATTATATTTTAATATATTTCTGTAAATTCTATAGAAACTTTTAAACAATATTTTGATATCAAAACTCCGCAATAATTAAATGAATAAGATAGGCAATAAAAATAAATTGCAGATAGGTACTTACTTTTCCGACACTGGCAATCACTAATATCAATTCACTTTACTTTTCTTTTCGAAAGACTGGAAAAAAATTCAGTCACTGGCCAACACTAATATCTATTCACTTTACTTTTCTTTTCGAAAGTCTGGAAACAAATTCAGTCACTGGCCAACCCTAATATCGATTCACTTTTCTTTATGAAATTCCAGAAACAAATGAGTAACGATTATCCTTGACATTCGTATTTATATTGGTGAAGAATCAAACACGTTCATGCAAGATTGCAAGCACATACACCACAAGTCGTATTAATTTGCACGTCTGAACAAGCGTTGCGGACGGGACGGCGGCCGGCGCGGCAACGACAAGTCTCGACGCGTTAGTACTGAATATGGAATATGCAAGTTTTTACAAGTAACAGTCGCTGAGCTTCTTAAAATATTATCTGCCTATATTGATAAGAGAAGTCAAGTCAACATTTTAGTAACTAAAATGTTGATTGTTTATATTATAAACAGTTGAACTTTTTTACAAGAAGTTCTTCATCACATGGAAAAATGAGTAATCAATTGTTTAATAGTATATTGCTTCACGATCGAAACCAAATTAATTTTCATGCGCCCCCGCTTACGATTGTGGGCCCCCATTTTTTATTACGCCCAACGTAGACCCCCGTCGAGTCTCCCGTGGACCCCTGGGGGTCCACCTGGACCACTTTGAGAAATACTGATTTAAAAATTCGAACAATATCCTCCGCAATTATTAAATTAAATATTTTGTTGGTTTTGGAATTTTTGACGTTTAGAATTTTTTACGTGTTTGATGCACATAAGAAACATTAACTTATTTTGTTTGACGTTTTAAGTTGTTGATAGTGTCACGGTATCTTTGTAACAGATTGTAACGTAATTTTTTTTGTTTAGTTATTGAAAATGGGTCGCGGTAAAGCAACTCTAAAAAAAAATAGAGATTTGATCATAAACAAATATAAACATAAGTTTCCTAATAAATATCTGAAATAAAATTATGAAAAGGCCGAACATATAGTGGTTAGGGCTCGTATATATAAAAGCGAAATACCACTCACTGACTCATAACCAGATCTCCAAAACTATAAGCCCGATTGACTTGAAATTTTGCATATTTACTCCTTTCTCGACGTTAACATCCACTAAGAACGGATTTTATTAACATCACATTTTAAGGGGGAAAACGGGGGGAGAAAGTTTGATGGGAGTATCGAATTTTTTAAAGAACAGAACTTGAAAATTTGAATTGTAGCTACTCATCACAAAAAAATAATGACGTAATACAAGGTTTTTGGATTTTTATATTTTAAGGAGAGGAAATGGGGAGGTGAACATTTGTATGAGAGTATAGATTTTTTTAAAGGTAGGAACTTAAAAATTGGAATTATAGCTACCCATCATAAATAAATAATGACGTATTTTAGGGTTTTTGAATTTTTACATTTTAAGGGAAGGAAATTGGGGGTGAAATTTGTAAAGGGGTATCGATTTTTTTAAAGGTAGGAACTTGAAAATTGGAATTGTAGCTACTCATCACAAATAAATAAAGACGTATTTCAGGATTTCCGGATTTTTACATTTTAAAGGGGGGGAGGTGAAAGTTTGTAGGTATGGGAATTTAGATTGTTTTAAAGGTAGGAACTTAAAAATTGGAATTGAAGCTACTCTTCATAAATAAATATTGACGTGTTTCATTGAGGGTTTTGGATTTTCACATTTTAAGGGAAATAAAAGTGGTGAAATAAAAAATAAATTAAAAAAAAATAAAAATAAGTAAAAATAAATACAAATAATTGAAAACGAAACTTATAGTATAGCCGGAGAGCTAGTAACACTCACTATCCAAATTTTGATAGTGTGGATAGCAAGTTGGTGGTTCGAGCCCCGAAACTTTTAGTTTTTTTTTTTCCTAAAAAAAAAAAAAAATAGGAAAAATATTGTTTTATTATTTCAGTCTTGGTAATTTAAAATGTTCAGTTTTTAAAAAGTATATACTTATTCAATGCATAGTGGCGCATAACGAGGTTCATTCATTTTTATGTTGGCCGGCAATTAAACCCCGCAAAAAGTGTCTGCCTTTTTGGAATTATTTTTTTTTATATTTAATTAAGACGCTATTAAAATTTCAGCGTGATTCAAACACTTTAAATCATATTTAAAAAAAATCAACTTTGGGGTTGATTTATCAATTATAAACCCTCTCAAAAGTGTCTGCCTAAAGTACTAGTATTTTTAGAATTACCTAAACTTTCAATTGTTGTTTGTTGGCCTCTGAATCAAACACTTTTTTGGGTCATATTTTACGACCCCTTTCTATTATGCGCAGTACCTGGTGTCCCGGGGTGGGTCTAGCCAACACAGGTATATCTGCATTTCCATCCAAATGATTTCAAATTACAAAATTTTAAAGTGCAACAAACACTTAATGGAATGTGTGTTACTAGCTCTTGGACTAGTATGAAAAATATGAGGAGTGAATTGATAAAAATAATAATTCTCGATGTCCCGACACCCCAACAGCCTAAGGAAAGACTGCTTTTCTTATTAGTTTTAAGTGACCTGTTAGAGATTTAGTTACGCATATAATTTGGTGATATTAGCAGATGAGAGTCGTACCAGAAATGTGGTATAAAATGAGATTCTCAATTAGATTACTATACTTAAATATTAGATTACTGTACTTTAATCTATAATAGTATTAAAGTTTAAATTACTACAAGCCGCCACTGGTTCGTACGAGTTAAAAAAACCAGACTAATTAGAGATGTGACAGTGTTGCAACTAAATACAAACAAAAAAAGTATTTTATATTTTGACTTGTGATGCTCTTTTCCAAAATATACGCATCTACCTCCCACAAGTGACACAACACCACTTGACAACTGAGTTGTGACAGTCACAAAGTTATAAGTAAATGTACAAAAAAAAATAAAAAAAAAAAATAAAAAAAAAAAAAAAAAAAAATAATATTGTTACCCATCATCAGTGTGCTGCGGTCGTCATAAGTAAAGGTGCGAGTTTAAGAAGGGAGAATATTCGAGAAATGTAATTCCACGTCAAGAAACATCTCGACGTTTCGGGAAGGTTCAAGAAGGTTAAAGCGAGTTTTATAAATCGGTGATCCTGACGTCAGACGTCAATTTGATGATAGATGTTATATGTTAATGTTTTCAGTACAATATTCGAGTTGTAAAAGTAGAGTTGAAATAAATTGAGATACCAAAACCTGCGTAACAATATTAATAATGATATTCATAAATTAACAAGTATCAGTACTGAAGAAAATTCAAAGTAGTTAATTAAACATATACAAACTTAAACCACAGTAATTTTTATTAAATCCAACACCTAAATCCCAAGAAAACCACTATCAAAATAAAAATTATTTATTATTATTACCTTGGTGATTTTCCTTCTTGCGATTCTTTTGAAAGCAAACTACAAAATTCGACAGGCTGTCCTCTTTTTTTCTGTTTCTTTTTCGTGTGAAGTTCCTGTATTTTTGCAAACACGTAAATTTTTGAAATTGGATCATTTTCAGATATTGCAGACATTGCCTAAACAATAATTAAAAAAAAAAAAAAAAAAAAAATTAAAAACTAGTTAATTTAGAAATAATTTTATATTTACCTGCAGTTTTTCATCGTAAAATAGCTTATTTGGTATATGCAAAATGTTAGTGTGGTTCCTGAAGTTTTGAATCAACATTGTTATATAATTATTATTATTTTGAGTGTACAAATCGCATTCCATCAAACGTTCTAGAAGAGATATTCCTGCAATGTAAAGTTTAACTGATAAGAAATTGAGGATGTGATCCATTTTTCACGGAATAGAATCAGCAAAAACATTCAACAATAAATGAAAAAACTAAGTCTGTCAACCACTATTTTATTCAAATATTGAGGGTCATTAGCAGCCTTAAGTTAAACAATAAAAGTAGGAAAATCTGCGAAGGGAGATAGAAAATAGAATAGTGAAACTAAAATATCACAAATATTTAGACAAAACCTTAAAATTTCTTAAATGGTTGGCAGAATTACGATTAACTTGACAATAACAGAGACGTGTAACTTAATAGGAAAATATGTTCGGTGGTCCATTTAAATTACATATATGACCCTCTTTTTCTTTTACATTGATCTTTACATAAGTCTCTCTCTCTCCAATAAAACTAACACCATTTTCAGAGGGCGCTGGTGTTGCTGGTTTTTTGACGTCGAAATATCGATTAAAAGTATTAAAACTGACAACTGACAATGTTATGAATGTTGTTATGAACATGTGCATTTTATTAAAATTAATTTAATTTGGGCCCCGTATATTTCTTTTAGTCTGATTTTGTTGTTTAATTATTTTTCTTTGCGGGGAATGTTTATTTTTGCATATTATTTTTTGCATGAAGCAATTTCTGGAACCAAACTCGCGTTTTTGTATACATTTCTTTCTAGAGGTAAGTAATTTCCAATTTATTATGTATATGTGTATAATGTGTGTGTTTAATAATATATTACACAATGACTATAATTATTTTAGGTGAATTGGAACAGAGATCCATTGTTACAGCTACTTGTGTTCATTAAGTAGGTAGATGAATGTCTGGACAGCTTTAATGGCAGCACAAAGTTCCTATCTACTAGAAAAGTTAAATGTATGCTGAGTAAAAAATCTGCAAATGTAGTATTGGCAAAGGACTTTTGAAATGATTAGAGATTAGCTATTTCTTACATACACCTACCTCTAACAGCCACTCTAAAGGAAGAAAAAAAAATTGAATCACAAAACGGCAGAATTTTAAATCAGGATGCATTGGAAAATAAATTTGGGGACATCAGGTCGGTTTTGGATTTTATAGAGAGATCAATCTCAAGAAAAGTTAATTTATCCTGCAGAACAACCAGTAGTTTAAGTAGGATTTGCTATAACTTTATTAGAAATTTTCTTTGATAATAAATTGTAATATAGGTACCAATTATTGTTTCAAATGAAATTGAAAAAGAGTTAAATATGAAATTAGATTTTTCATGAGTAAAATGTTATATTAATTCGAACATTGTAAGGTAATCTATAATTAAGGGAATATGGAAAATAGGTATACCCTGGTGGTGTAAGAGAAAGGTAAGGGGCAATGACAAAAAAATTACCAAAATGTATTTATCTTTAAATAGTGTTTATTATTAATAATATTATTTGCTATGTTTGAAAAGTACCTCCTGCTGCAGAACAGATCGAATAGATTAGACTACTAGTTGGAGAAGGTCCACCTAGTAACCAAATTAGGAGACTAGGAAAACTTTTACATGACTGGGGACACAACAGGAATGCACACACACAAGATACACAAACAAAATAACAGGGGTAAGCCTTCAGCAACGTCCTGTTTAAATGATAGTATGTCATCCTTCATTCCCTTTTAGACTCAGGCCTTATACATTTGTGTTGAGTGTGTGTTTGTTTTGTTTCCATGGTTTCTGTTAAAATAAACAGTCATAACATATCGATACCTTTTTGCCAGACTGACATAAGCGACATTTGTTCAAATGGCACTTATGATAGTCTGGCAAAAAGGTATCGATATACTCTATACTTTATAAAATATTTGTTACATTAGTTTTTAAATATATTATGAATATATAACAACTGTTACTTTCTTTGTAATTTGTCACAAAATGATAAGAGGTACTTTCTAAACATAGCAATTGTAGTTTGTTTTTCTGTACCTTAAAAAAATATAATTTATAGAAAAAGAGTTTGGTGTATTATTTTTCCAAGTTTAAATATTTAATAATCAATAGAATTTTCAAGTTTTTTTAGCGAAATTTACAAGAGTAATAAAAACTATGTTCACTGCTTATATTAAACTGATTAAAACTTCCTTTATTAAAATGATTATTTATATGATAAAAATTTGATGATATTGGAAGCTTTTATATTTTTTAATAAACAGTGAAACAGTTTTTGTTTCTCTTGTAAATTTGTTGTATACAAAAACGATTTCTGAACCATGTTTGAATTTCCCGCCCTAAAGCATTTTTAATTTTCCCGCTATTTACTAGTGGCGCCATCATAGACTGGTTGTGGTTACAATCGCCCAAATAAGTTTTACCGAACAAAAAAAATACATTGAGTTACACGTCTCGCTGGATTGTCTCTGACAATAATAAAAACTGGACGTGACGGTCTCAAACTAAATTTATGGGACTTTCATTGATTGAAGGTTATTCAAAGATGATTCATAAGTAAAGCCCAATCAAAGTGAGGAGAAATTATTAAAACATATGCTACTCTGTTTAGACCTAATAAGCTTAGACAGAGTAATCATAGACAATTTTCTTAGGACGAATCTTTCTGGAGAAATATTTTTTTATCTTTTCTCATATTGTTTTTCATCAGTTATACATTTGACAGGTGACAAGCAGAATAAATAGACATAGTTGAAGTTTAGGAAAAAGTACAAACCAAATCCGTATTCGACAGCCTTTTCTGACGATAAAGATGGACCCAGTTGCTTGGGATCTCCAGCCAAAATAATTTTATTTCCCTTTTCCATCAGAGCGATGGCGCAACAGGCTTCAGTTTCGGATGCCTGAGCCGCTTCATCGATAAACAATACGTCTGGATGGTATTTTCCGGTAAACCTTCCTGCTAGAATCAATGTCGTTACGACAATGCGATAATGTTTGAGAGTTTCGGGAAGAACTTTTCTAAATATATCATCGCCTTCGTAATTTGTGTAGGGTATGACTACCTCGTGAATGTTGGATCTAAAATAGATGTTTAAAAAATGTATGGTATTTTTATTGTTTCTTCTGGTAAAAGATCGCACCCCGGCGAGAAAAGTGACAACTAAAAATTACAGTTTTTGAGAAAAATCAACTCAAAGATTAGTTTAAAACATAACGTTGAAATACTATAAGTTACTATTAACTTTCAAGTATTAATTTAATTCCATAAATTCAATTATACTGTGTAGAATTACTATACGAATCTGTTAAGCAGCTCTGGTTTTATATAAGGCATTACCAGGTAAGAAAAGGTAAGGCCTCTTAGTTGTCACTTTTCTTGCTTCTATATTTTGTTTTTTGTTATAATGACCCCTTATGTAATACTTATGACCATGTTTTTAAATATACATTTTTTTACTTTTAGTTTAAGACCTTAGTCAAAGGTCACTACTTATAGTATAAAAAAATAAAAAAAAAATTATTAACTGCTTTATTAGCCTACTTAAATTGCAAAATAAAAAATGAAAATAAAGTAGTTTGTAAACAATTTACATAAACATGAAATCTTATACAATGTAGGAATACTTTTCGACGAGATAATGCATTGAATATAAGCTTTCTTTACAGCAGAGATGTCCATTTTTTCTTGTGTGCCACAACGCATTCTAGTTAAGATAATTTTGCTTGCTCTCTTTAGATATTACTGACATTGATCTGCGCATATTCTTGTTCGTATGTAGTTTTCACAAAACAAATGCCGGGGTCCGTTTTCTGCACTTTAATTACCTTTATATCAGTTGTTTTCATCTGCTCGTTGTTTGAAGCTTTGTTATAGGTTTGTCTTCTCAATAATAGAATATACATTGTCCCCTTCATTTTGGGTGTGCCCTTTGATCAAACATTTATGTGTGATTGACTTTGTCTTAAGTTTTTACTCGGCATACAGATACATTCCCATTATGAATTTGTTTTTTTGCTATCCGTAGCAGTTATCCGAGTACAGAATAATTTCTAAGTTATCATCATTTTTGGTGTTACCTGCTCTTGTATTTAAAAATGCAAGAACCTATTTATATGGCTCCCCGTTTCCCTTCACCCTCATGCCAAAAACGCATTCTACATAAGTTCGGTCACAGTTAGGTTACAGCTGCTAATTTTGCTTCTATAATAAAAGGTAGATGTAAGTGGCGACTATAATTTTTTCTTTACTTTGTTTTGTTTCTTCTTATCCTCTTCTTGATAAAACTTTCTCCTTATCATATTGATCTTGTATCGCTTCTCTTTCTTCGTTCGTGGCGTTGCTCTAGCAGCTGCACAAGTCGCATTGGTCTTTTTTGAGTGTAAAAAAAGAGATGTTAAAATTGTTGTTGAAAATTCGAGAATACATCGTGAGATTTGCATGTGTATTATTCCTGCATATTATTTTATAAGTTGGTACATGGCCTTATTGACTCACTTCTATTATTTTATCCAATACGGTCCTGTCTTTAAATAATCTGTAGAACTTTCGTCAAAATATGTTAATCATGCCGTTGGTTGTAAGAACCATTCACAAAACTGAACGCTGCGAGGAAATCATTCAAGTTGTAGTGTTTGAACATGTTGAACGTGAAAGGATAAAATTGATTTTCCTGCAATGTTATCCACACTTTTCTTTAGTCCCACCTAATCTGCAATCACCTGCGTACCGTCAAACGGGGTGACTCGGGAAAGCCGGTTGAAAAAAAATTGTAGCGAGGACGCATGCGCTGGGCCGGCGGCGGAATTCGGTCATTGAGTAGTGTGTAGTGTTTACTTATTAGTTGTTAGTGTCTCATTCGCCACAGCTGCATAACATTTCGTTCTTGCGAAAAAAATTAAGACATCAGAGCGGCAGAAAAACGGGTGTTTTCGTAAGTCGATAAATTAAGGTGTTGAACTTTTGGAAGGTGATATTTGCTATGAAATTTGTTTTGCTCGCTCAGTTGACACGTTCTCAATGTTGTCTTAAGATTTTTTTATACTGCTAAATTTAATTTTTTCTTTATCGTTGGAAATCTAATCTCAGGTTCTTTTCAGGGCGACTCGGGACATACCCCGAAAATATATCAAGAGGCTTGGTTCTAGGCCATATCAGATTTATGAAAGCAAAAATCTGCAGAAAGCTGTTCAAGAAAGGCTGGAGAAAGGAACCAGCTATAGACATCTGGAGATTAAATACGGAATACCTAAAAATACAATAAATCAGCATGTGAAAAATAGGAATGTGAAAAAACCTGGTGGACAATTAGCCATAACGAACGTTGAAGAAAACAAAATTGTTAGTTCTGTGATGTGTCTTGCCGATTGGGGATTCCCATTAGAACCAATGGACGTGCGTATTTTGGTGAAACAGTATTATGATAAAAGGGGTGTAAGCCTCAGAAGATTTACCATTAACTTGCCAGGGCCAAACTGGATTAAATCTTTTCTGATTCGCCACAAAAATAATTTAGCACTGAGACTTTCGGAGAATATAAAACGAGCGAGGGCTGCAGTTGATAGACAATCAATTCATATTTTGATGAATTGAACACATCTTTAGAAAATATTCCTCCTTCGCATATAGTTAATTACGACGAAACAAACTTTACTGGTGACCCTGTCCGTCAGCGAGTCGTAATTCGTAGGTCCAGCAAACATACAGACCATAATACATCGACATCTGTCATGTTTGCCATCAGCGGATCTGGTGAAATGTTACCCCCCTATGTGGTATTCAAATCAGAGCATCTTTATCAAAACTGGATGAAAGATGGGCCACAGGGCACTAGATATGGAAATACTAAGAGTGGATGGTTCGATTAGAACCAATTTGAAGAATGGTTTTTAACAATAGCATAAGCTTACTTCAGAAGACTTCAAGGGCCGAAGGTTGTTATTGGTGACAATCTGGCAAGCCATGTCTCCCAAAATATCATCATGGAATATCAAAAAAATAACATCAAATTCGTTTTACTTCCTCCAAACAACATGCATCTCACACAAACGCTTGACACTGCATTTTTCAAGCCTGTTAAGCAATCGTGGAAAAAAATCTGGGGACTGGAAGAAGAAAAATAGAGGAGTTATCCCAAAACCAGAATTTCCAGGATTATTGAGAAAAGCTTTGTTAAATATTGCAGACAAATTGGAAGATAACATTAAGGCTGGTTTTCGTGGTTGTGGCATTATTCCACTTGACAGAGAACAAGTTTTGAAGTGTTTACCTCCAGAAATTGTCAACGAAGAAGAATCTCAGAAGACTTGGATTGAGACACTGACTGATTTTCTGAAAACCCAGCGCGACCCACAAACCCCCGCAAAGAAGGCAAAAGGAAATAATATTCCCGTAACACCTGGTAAAAGTGTGGAGTGCCAATCAATAATATCTGATTCTGAGCCCGAAAATGATTCGGAATCTGATGGCAGCGAAATTTCCGAAGAAAATATAAACGACACCGAATCAGAGGGGGAAGCAAGAAATTCACCAAATGTAGAAAGCGACGGAGAAAAACCAGGCGTGAAAGATTTGGAAACAGATGACTTTGTCATTGCAAAATTTACAGAGGGAAAGTTTTCTAGGAATTTTGTAGGTAAAATCTTAGGAAACAATGATGGACAACTGTGTATTACTTTTTTAAGAGAAAGCTCTAAAGTAGAAAATACCTTCATTTTTCCACAAGTCCCTGATGAATCTGTTGTGGATATCTCTCAAATTCTTAAGAAACTTCCACAACCAGTGCAAGCAACTTCGGAGAGGGGGTGTCAAATTTCCATGTTATGTGAATATGAAAAATTGATAAAAATTTGAAAAACTTTGTAGACGATAAGTTTATATAGAAAAAATTGTTTTTACTGTATTTGATCTCAATAAAAATTATTCTTGAGATGTGTTTTCATTATTTTATAAGATTTTCAATGATAATAAGTAGATAAATGCATTTTTTAAAACGTGATATTTGTTCCATCTCAACCAGAGTAGGTGAGATAATGTTTTCACTGCAGAATAAACGCATGTCCTGAGTAACTCCACAGGGTGAATCGGAACACTTTTTGAATTAAAAAAAAAAAAATATCATTCAAATTTTTTTCTTCTATCGTGTGAACGTGTTGCGAATATATGTAGAAAGATGATAGTACCTGTAATTTTCATATAGATTGATACTAACGTAAATTATTTATAATACACTGACAATTCCGTCCTTAGTCACCCCGTTTGACAGTACTTGTTATTGGATCTTCCTCGATAACATTTAAAATGTATCCTTTTAAACGCACTTCATTTTCAGTTTACCATACTGAGCAATTTAAATTCACTACTTAGATAAACACGCTACTGAATTACAATAACCGGTACCAGTACACTTTGAATCGTGATTCATAAGAAAACCCGAAAAAAAAAAAAAAAAAAAAAAAAAAAAAAAAAAAAAAAAAAAAAAAAAAAAGATAAAAACATGAAACACTTATTATTTAACGTAACTTTTCATACAGAAATCCAGGAGGATTTAGATATTTTTAAATTCTCTATATTAATTTTCATTTTTGAAAGAGATGTTTATTTAAGGGGTTAGGTGTAGTCAGAGACATGAAAAAAAAATTTTTTGCCAGTAAATTATTTTATAAAACTGAAAACATAACAGCATTAAATAAGGTTCGACTCGACAAAAATTTTAGGAAAAAAAAAATTTAAAAGTAATGGGCTGTTGGGTGTTGATCTAGTTCTAACCGAAGCTCCTTGCGGTGACCATCACTTATCCTTGGAGATTCATCTAAAATCAGTCGGACAATAAAAATTATTTTTATTAATAGATAATCTAGTGTCTGATCGAAGCTTTTTTTTTTCTTTTTTTAATTAACAAGATGGCGGCCTCAGGAAAATGTTTTCCAGATTTTCGGGAAAAAGAAAAACAATAGTTGTTTATAAAAAATTAAAAAAAAATCCTTCGATCAGGCACTAGATTATCTATTAATAAAATTAATTTTTTTTTTGTCCGATTGATTTTAGATGAATCTCCAAGGATAAGTGATGGTCACCGCAAGGAGCTTCGGTTGATCAACACAAACAGCCATTACTTTTAAATTTTTTTTTCTAAAATTTCTGTCAAGTCGAAACCTTATTTCATGATGCTATGTTTTTACTTTTATAAAATAAAATAATTTACTGGCAAAAAAAATTATTTAAAATTGCCATTTTTTCATGTCTCTGACTACACCTAACCCCTTAACATACACAGTTAAAAAAGTACAAACTTAGGATTCACCTTGTATCTTTAGTCAAGGAATTCATTATAAGTATATTTCAATATCTGTTTCTAACAAAAAAGGCCATCTGAATGAGTAGAAGAAAAAAGCAGGCAGAAGTCCATGGTTCCATGCTCAATCAGAGGTCTTTAAATAACTCTATTTTTATTATTAGGCAATGTATTTTAATATTTAAACAAATAAATTTGATTTGACTTACGTGTCTACATTTTCAGAAACAATTCTTAGGAGTTCTTCGTCTTTACAATGGCGTAGCAATTGCTCCGTTATGACGTCACACGCAGCGTTAGAAGGAGCGCATACCAGAATATGGTGTTTGGTCTTTTTCTTTAGTTGCAAAATAGCCTCAACAATAGTTACAGTTTTTCCTGTGCCCGGTGGGCCGAATACAATGTACGGATAAGGAGTCGAAGTAGCGTTCAAAATTTTTAAAACTGCTGCTTTTTGTTCTCGATTTTGGGCAATAGTCGAATTGAAGAAACTACAAAAAAGTGTTTAAATGCATTAACGTTCCTTTAAAGTATATTCGATCTGACACTTTGATATTTTTTGTATTGGGTTATATTTTGAAACACGTACTCTCCATCATTGAGCGTCCTGGTCTCAAGTTCAAGTTTGAATCCAACTTTTTCTGGTGGAAACAAACATGGCACTAGTCCATTTTGAACAACTCTTTGCACGCCCTGATGTTGTCTTTCGTGAGCTAATCTACTCAAAACAAATTTTACGTCCATATCTTTGAGTACCTCGGGAGTTTTCTTTACAATGTCGTAAAATCTGAAAAGGGAATATCATCACTTTGGATAACAGCGATTGAGTACCTACACAGAAATGTTTCTTTAATTTTGTTAATTCTTCCAACTTTAATAAAAAATAAATGTTCTTATATACACTATTGTTTAGTATCCTTAATTTACAGAGTCCTAATGCTACATTGAATAATGATTGCAATAACAAAAACATACTGCTATTTGGATTTTTGCGTTAAATTTTGATGGTGTTTTTAAGTGTAGTATCCTAATAAACTTTAGCACTGACGCCGTAGAAACATCAGTAACTGTTAAAGTATAAATATCCAGTCCGTTTTAAGTGTTAGTTTTGCAATATAGTGTAACTTACTCTGCATCAATGCTTCCTATTTCAACTGTACTGTCATTTACTCTCATAATTGTTCCTCGATAACCAACGCGATCTTCGTGTATGCGTAAATCAACCATATCACCCTTTACTATAGACGGGCGTTTCTCTGCTAAACCTGGCACCTCCAGCTCAAACCAGCCATTTTCGTACTTTATGGTTACCTGGTAAAAATATACTTACAAAAACTATTCTAGCGTTGCGAAAAGAAAAGTATGCATCAAATTTTTCAATGTACTAAGCTAGTATATTACAGAACTATTTAATGAATGGTGTAAAATTACGTGTATTTTTTTAGCAAAATTAATATTTCACCCTGTATATACAAATATATCGATGCGATTAATTATTAATACAAACAGCGGCAAAAAAAAATTTATAAATATAACCATAAATTATTCTTATTTAAGCCAAATATTTATTAAGATTAATTTTTCTGTATTTTTCATAATTCTGTACAAAGTTTTTGAGCCTCACTGTATATACAATTCTGCGAATTTAATTATCATCTTATCAGATAAAATATTTTATTATTTTATATTAAGTATCAAAGAGATAATTAATTTCATTTTTGGATAAGGTATCTGTAATGTAATGACCAAATTGAAATGTTTAATTGTTATTTTAAATATTTATTTAGGTCTTTTTTTATATTTGGAAACAATAATAATGATCTAGAATAACAATACAAATGAAATATTTATTTTAGTAAATTTTCATATTTAAAAAATAATGGACTTGCTAAAGCAGTTACAAATATAGATTCAAAAAAAAAACAAATCTTAACATCGATACTTTGCAAGTAGACAGCATAAATTTTAATAATTTTAACATACACTTTATTAATTACGCCTTTATGGGATCAAACTCGCAATGGCGTGAATTATAGATAGTATATTATTAGTTAAACATTTTTTCTGAAATTATTTTCCTTTATTATAGAACTGATGGTAACGTAATTTAATTTTAAATAAAAAATCACCTTTTGATTCTTTTATAGTTAATTTTTGTTAGTGATCCTATCGACTCATTTTGTGCAGTAACAAATACTTTAGATGGTTTAAATTCCAGTAAAATTTAATTTAAGATCTTGAGTTTTTGGTCTATGAAACTGCATAATGGATAATTCCACATAGTTTTCATCTCACTACCCCTCACCTTTTCTCCAATCTACCCTTAAGTCACAATTTTCAATGACGCCCTTTATATATTATGAATGATTATGAAATAAGAGCACACTTTCTGAGTACGTCCATAATAAAAAAGTTGCAAGTTACATAGTTACTTTTTGATACATTTTAAAAATTCTTTAATAATACATTTATTTTATATGATTTGTGACAAAGTAGCTAAATATTGATTATTGTTAATTTCGTCTGTCTGTTGCAAAATGAATAGCATGCATCATGCCATCAGGCTTTTAGGGCGATATTAACAAGTATACTGTGATTTTACAAGCATGTTAATATTTTGGTTGCCAGATCAGATAAAATAATGTTAGTTAACACAAGTTATTACTTTGCCGGAGTCATATTTGACTACAAATATTGAGATAAAAAATGATATCAAATTTGCAGCTATGTTACGTTTTTAATCGTCTAGCAATAAATTAATTTAGTTTTTTGCCGACCTCGTATCGACTTTAAAAATTCGCCAGTTTTGATTCATTCCGTACTTTATCTTATCATAAAGTTTATTTTTTTTTAGATTTAATGATTTTTTTTTTCGGTTTGTACTTCTCTAGTTATTGGCCTATAAAGATGGAAATGCATTAGGCAATCATGGTCCCATATTTTATAACGTATGCATTTTTACTTGGTATTCTCAAGCTGTGTGAAAAACGCTGTCATTTGTCATTAATCTAACAATTGGTAGTTTGTAAGATGGTAGGAAATTTGTCTTCAAAGATATTGCACATGGCAACATTCTTCACACATTTATGTCTATTGTTTTCTAATTCAACTATAATGCCATAGAGTCACTTTTGTTCCTTTGTATTACAAATTAACTATCTTAAAGGTGACAATAAAGACGAAGTGTGCACTAAACACTACAAAAAATCAAGATACCCATGAATAAAAAGTATGTGGAATTACGTCCCTCCATGCACTGTCTCATACCACAAAAAAATTTAATATTTCAACTTAAATTTGACCAGAATTAAGGCGATACGAAGTTTTTACGTTACCAGGTTAGGAGATAAAATCACTTAAACAATCACCACTTACATTTTCCATATTGTACTGCTGAAGACCGAGTCCTTGTTTCATTTCTTCCAACCATAGAATGATGTCCCAAAAGTCTTGGTAATTAGATTCAGTTACATTGCCTGGATCTAGTTTGTTTCTATTTAAATTATAAAAACAAATTTACGAAAGCAGGAAATATTTGTTGTTTCTTAATATTTAAACACCACAAACCATATTTCAATTTATAGAAAGCAAAAAACAAAAGCGCTATCATAAAAACGTTTTTTATAAAAAAAAAACGCAAAGTTTACCGCTCTCCAGGCAAATTAAAACAGATTCAAAATTTTATGCATAACACAAACTTTATTAAAGCGGATACTCCTCCTACTTTTTTGATGCCCAACAATGAGGACTCCACCCCAGATTTGTTAATGTACACTGACAATCTTAGCAACGCAATCAAGAATATAGAAGTAATCCCCGACATTGAGGCAGACCACCACCCTATAATGTTTACTATCGAGCAATGAATGCCCTCTCCTTTTGCAGACCCACCTCTTAAATATCATTTCAATAAATCAAACATTGAAAAAATAAATAAAGAAGTAAACTAACTAATTTCAAACAACACTAATATTACTACCAATGAAGTCAATAACTTTCACACAAAGGTCTCCGAGATTATCACAAACAACACGACAAAAACTGCAAACAAATATTTTACTTATGAACTTCCTAGATACATCGTGAAATTCATCAAAACAAACATCAACAACTTTAACAAAGACATTCAAAAATTAGTAAAACAATTTCAGCAACACACATGGTTACAGACCTGCCAAGAAATCAATCGAGAACAGGGAAGAAACTTCTATTATAAAATAAACTGTCAAGACCCATCTTTTGAACAAGAAAACTGGAGTAATGTAAACTCACGGTGCAAACAATATTTTAGAAACAACCCAATCAATGAGGAAGATAACATAGAATTCAAGGAGGAAAAATACTTTCAAATACTATCCAATCAGAAAAACTCCGCTCCAGGATCGGACATGATCCCATGGCAAATTGTGAAAAAACTAGAATATAATATACATATCTATATTATAAAAATGTTTGTATTCTGTTATAAAAACTCGTACTTTCCAGATCAATGGAAAAAAGGCACCATCATAGTTATCCCAAAACCAGGCACAGACCACAAAAGAATTGATAATTACAGACCAATCACCCTTCTTCCAGTTTTGGGAAAACTATTCGAAAAACTTATTAAGGTCAAACTATCAGAATTAGTAAACGAACGAATTCCGCAATTCCAATTTGGGTTTAGAGAACAAATCTCCGCTCTGGTACCAACCACTCTGCTGGTTTCCAATGTGCAAACAACAAAATTGAACAATAAAAAATCTGCCATTCTCCAGTTGGACATTAAAAAAGCATTTGACTATGTCTGGCACGAAGGCCTCCTATTTAAACTAAAACTTATGATGCCTGATGGTCTTATAATTTTTATCAAAAACTTCCTTCAAAACAGAACTCTAAGAGTTAAAATAAATAACCCCACATCTCCAAGTTTCATAGCAAATCAAGGTGTACCGCAAGGGTCGCCACTATCTCCGCTCCTTTACAACATATATTGCTTTGATTTTCCTTCAGGTCAGTTACATCTCAATGCAATAAATTACACACTCCAATACGCAGATGACACGGCCTTGATATTGCATGGAAATACGCTGAATCAAACTATCACAGCACTACAAAATCAATATAACGAAGTTGTTCAATGGCTCAATAAATGGAGATTACAAGTTAACCCACGAAAATGTCAATTAATGATACCTTATCATTATCTAAGACCGACATCACCTACACTCATCAAATCTAACCAATCAATCTATCCCGTATCCTCAGTGAAATACCTAGGCATTGATAATAAGCTGAACTTCAATGAACACACCCGCAGATAAAAAAAAATCAAAACCAGAGCCAAACATTTCCGCTCTTTAACATACAAAAAAGAAGGTATCAACATCTACACGGTCACTAAAATCTACAAAACAATTTGTAGACCTCTCCTGGAATACGATCACACTATATATTAAACTGCCGAAAACCTGTATTAAAAAACATTCAGGTGGCCGAAACTTCTACACTAAGAATCATTACCAAGATGCGACATCCTGAAAACCCCACTCACCATCCAGCGAATGAATATCTTTACGAAAAAACTAAGATTCAGCCTATCCTGGAAAGAATTAGAAAACTATCAAAACATTTCTCGAAGAAACGAAGCAATCACATGCTAATAAACATTTTTTCGATGCAACGACAAATTGGTCAAGCAAAGTTTAAATACCCAGTGAGATCAATAACAGAAATCTTAAACGAATTTGTTCAATTTTAAAAAAATACTTACTTTATCTCTGCCAAAGTAAAAAAATCAGATCCATCCATAGACTGAAATTCCTCTAAATTGTTAATCAAAAATTTTTTGTATTCATATGGTATCGGGTAATTATTTGAATATTGTCTACAAAAAAACATAAAAATTTTCAAATATATTGATGGCTAAGAGGACAAATATTGAAATATGTACGATTCTATGTCCTTTAAAATGAAATCTTTATGGTTCCCAAATATTGTGCATCCACTTGAAACTGTTTACCAAGGTAATACTATACAGCATACTCGATTTTACTCAAAATGACATTTTTAGAAATACAATATTTGTCCTCTGGCCATCAAAAAATTAACTCTATAGATTATCAAACTTACTGTTTACAAGTAGACTTCAAAATGTCGACGTCACGTGGCCAAGGAATACCTTTAAATGGACTTTCAGTAATTTCAATTTTCTCAGACAATTCCTCAGCAACTACTATGTCCTAAAAAATGCCCAAGTTAAGTATCAATCACAAAAGAAATAATTATTTAGCATATAATAAAAAACAAAAAAATTATGGCTTTTGATTTTTACAAGGCATTTGATACAGTAAACCATGAAATTCTGTTGGATGGATTTTTCAAAATAATGACCCTATAAAATGTTTAAATTGGATTTAGAATTACTCAAATGAAATTTCTTTAAATAAGTAGTTACTTACAATTTCTCGGACTATGTGAAAAGTATCCTTTCTACTACCAACAGTTTCAAAAGAAAAACATACTGGAATTTTGTAATTTCCAACAAGAACAGTTTCACCAGCGACAAATTTTACAATTGTACTATAACTTGCATCTACAAAAAAATCAATAATGTGCTATATGGATGTATATTTATAAAAAAAAAGAAAACAGATTATCAATGAGGCATATCTTTTCCTATATGTTTGCAGGATTTGTAGCAGGTTCATATATTAAAAATTGCATTGTGGCCTAATTCTAATAGGAGAAAATGTATTACTATCTTAACAAAATTAATACATACTTTGTTTAAGTTCAATTCTTCTTTCACACATATTATTGTTTGGGTCATGAAATGAAAACCATGTGTGCCGAAGTAAAACATTTGCATATACAAGGTAAATTGGTTCCTTTCTTTTACTAAGAATTGTGCATCTAAAATCAATTTCATTTCCTTGTGAGAACAAATCACTGGGCGTTATCTAAAAGTAGTTTTAATGTAAGTAGTCACTCCTTAAAACAGAAAACAAAACTCTGCTGCAGTCACAAATTGTTTATAAAAAAGATTTATGGATTCCACGTGTGAGTGACTTTTAAAGAGATTATTATGAAAACGTTTAGATTGGATATGTGAAATAAAATGGTAACATTGTATGAAGTGAAGTGCACCAAGCACTATGACTGTGATGCAAGCAATCCCCCAACACACAACCTACATACTACTAAAATCTAAAACACAATTCCTGAGGCATGAGTTACTAACTGATAAGTCATTCTGGCTATTGTTGTGATAATGAAGAAAAAAGAAACAATATTTGAACTATCTACTACACCAGCCATACTCAACCTGCGGCCCTCCAAGCTTTTTCTGCGGCCCGAAGCACTATAATTAAAACTATAGGTTTTTTGTTTTTATAATCTTGGAATTTTCGAGTTAAGTATACTTTCTACAAGTGTAAACGGAGTCTATATTTATGATAAACAGATAGCCAATAAAAACTAACTCTATATTAACCATATACACAAACAAGATGGAGTGGCATTTATATCAAAACATAATTATAACATTGTGTTCAATTGCTAAGTGTGTCTACCAAAACCAGATAATAGACATATAACTTATTTTTCCTAAATATATTTAGTCCGATTCCTAATATTGTTTCTGCTAAAACAAGATAAAGGCCAGAACCGAGGGGAAACCACTATGGTCAAAACGTACCTATATTTCGGAAATCACATAAAAACTTTTTATGTGATTTCGGTGAATTCACTAAAAATTCACCTTAATTTTATACGATGATCTTTTTTCTCGACATTTACAGTTTTCAGCAACGAATTGATTTCGGCGATGATTACGGCCATGATTTTCGATAATGATTTTGGAATTTTCGAGAAAATTTGTAGTGATTTTGGTGATTTCGAGTGAAAACGTACCAGTATTTGCGGAGTGGTTTACCGCTACTTATTTTTGTTGAATGGGTTCGTAGAAATACTGCAACATTGTGCCCAAGCCATTTGTTTTGTTATGACTAGAGCCTTTCTCGATTGTTTCAAAATCCACGAGATGATTACGTCACCCTTTCTTTCCGCGATACAGCTAACCTTCAACAATCACTAGATAATAACACATGATGTCCAAATCTCCGTGGTGAACGAGTGATTGGTCAAGATGTAACGGGTCATTGCTCAAGCTGTAACGAGTGATTGGTCAAGCCATAACGAGCAAATCTTTATGTGAAAATTCGTAAATAAAAGTATTAGTGGTAACAGGTGCATTTGAATTTTAACCATACTTTCTAATAGACAACTTGTATTGAAAGATTAAGCTATCCAAAATATATACCACCAGAAAAATAGATTTAATTTATCAATGGGCGAGTGTGGCTTTCGGATTTATATGCCAAACTTGCACAGTAATTATTCAGAGGGATGCAGGAAATGATAAAACAAAGTTTTGAAAATACAAAGAGAGTGTTTTATTTATTAGAGGTCCCCACTAACTAATTTTAGATAGATGGCCTAAAAAAGGTCATCATTCACAAATATTGTGGCCCGTGTAACATAGCAAACATACGAATTTGGCCCGAAGGAAAAAACGTTGAGTATGGCTGTACTACACTATAAAGTTTTTTCTGATATATTTTAAGTGAGAAAATAAAATTAATTACCTTAAAAGAATGTCTTCCTTTGTTATCATGATTAAGAGAATCACTACCTTTTGAAATGCTTAGCTCTACATTATGCCTGTTTTTTATTAAAGACTGCCTGCAGAAAAAAAAAAACAGTTGAAAATATATTTTTATGAAATTTTCGTTTTTTAAGTATATTAAGTATCTTGTTACAATCTATTTTCAGATGTCAATTAATTTTTTTATTATTTTCCATCTGGAATTTAGAAGTGACACCTAAAAAGGAATTATTTTCAAATATTTTTTAGCATTCAGTTCGGAAGTAGTTTCAGCCAATCACAAGGCTCACTGTAAGGTACAAAATAAAACAAAAAGTGAACTACAAGGTGTTCCTAAACATCATGTCATAATTAAAGGAGGTAATTCCTTGGCTCATATTATGACTTAAAGTTCATATAAACATGTATCCTGAATTGCTTTGTTTCGAAGATACAAGGTGTCCAAATGTTCAGGCCCTGGACTCCCATTCTTGAATGTGATGAGGAATATGAAGCGAACGCTTAACAAAAATGACTTTTTTTGAGATTATCAGCATAAGTTATGTTAGCAGTCATAATATTTTTTGGATCAAAGACCCATTATTGGCGTGCAATCAGTTTTTATTTTTTATCTTGATAAAAACACGAAAAATAGAAAAAGTTTAAGAGACAAAAAATATGTGTTTTTGATTGGCGAATTTGAAAAAGAAAAGATATGAAAAAGTAAGTGGCGTACTTTTTTTTCAAAAATATCAATTAAGTTGCCTTTGGGGACGCCACTGGAATTAATAATTCAAATATAACTAGGTCAAAATTAGTCTTTTACTACAAAAAATGAATCTGCCAAGTTTCATCAAAATCGGTCAAAAAGTGTTTATGATATATATGAATGAAAAATTGATTATTTTTAAAAATTTGAACACCCTGTATCTTTGAAACAAAGCAATGTATATGTAAATTTTTAGTCATAAATTGTGCCAAGGAATTACCTCCTTCAATTTTTGATTTTTCCCCTGTAGCTGTCAATATTATTTGTTAAAGAACCATTTTAATGAAACATTTGTAGTCAGACTAATAAAGTTGAAATATGGGCATAAACATTAGAAGTTATAACTTATCCACTAGCTCTTTATTTCGATCTTAGTAGAGCATTTGACACTGTAGATCATGATCTTCTCTTAGAAAAGCTGTATCGCATAGGCGTTCGAGGTGTCACAAATGACTGGGCTGCATCTTATCTGCGGGGAAGATCTCAGATTGTAGCTATAGAAGATGCTAAATCCGCTCCCAGGCTAATAACAGAAGAAATTCCCCAGGGCTGTTTTAGCCCCACTATTTTTCATCTTGTTTATGAGCGACTTAGAATACTCATGTCCAACACCTAGAGTAACTAGCGTTGGTTATGCTGATGACACTAATCAACTTATTGCTGAAAACAATCTGTCTGATACAGTCTCTGCCTTAAATATTAGTGCAAATGAATTCCAACATTGGTGCTCGAATAATGGCCTATTGCTTAATTCTAATAAAACAGTATTTATGCTTTTCCAACCAAAAAATTCAAGCAAAAGTCAATTAATAAAAATTGAACATAAATCTCTACACCAGGTAAGGGAGGTCAAGTTTTTAGGTCTAACAATCGTTCACAAGCTCACATGGGAAAGCCACATAGATAATCTTGTATCTAAGCTATGTAGCATTTGCTTTGTCATCAGACAACTTAAACCAACTGTGACTTTGGATGTACTAAAACTAACCTACTATGGACTAGTGCATTCAGTACTTTCATATGGCTTGATTTTCTGGGGAAATTCGGCCCATATGAATAAAGTATTTCTCTTGCAAAAAATAATTATTAGATGCATGATAGGAACCTATCCTTTGGAACATTGTCAGCAACATTTTAATAAGTTATCAATATTAACTCTTCCATGCTTGTTTATTTATCTATCGGTGTCATATATTAAAAAAATCTTTCACATCAAACAACTAATAATATGATACACCCCTATTCTACTCAAAGAGGTGGCGAACTTCGTACACCCTTCTCAAGATTAATAGTGGGCCAAAACTCTCCATATTATCAAGGAGCCATCTTGTTTAACCATTCTGTTAGAATTTTAGGCAATATAGAAAACTTTAAAAAATTCAAATTTATGCTGTTTCAGGTTCTTGCAGGTAAGGCCTTTTACTCTGTTGATGAACTTTTAGCATATTAATTTTATAACTTAAAATATATTTTACCTAATGTTAATTTTAACTGTCTTTTGTGTTAGTTTTCTGTATATTATATATTATCTTAGCTCTAGAATTTTAAACTTGTATAAATTGAACAGTGTGAATGGTGTTTTTGTTTTTTCTGTTTTTTGTATGGATGTATTGTGTATGAGCTGACTAGTCTGATAAGTTTTTTAAACATTGTAAAAATGTAAAAAAAATACTTTATTGACGAATACATTCTATTTTATTCTATGAAATGTAGAAAAAACTTCAAAGCTACTACTGGCAGACACCAGACACCAAAAAATTGCATTATCCTTTTAGAAAATCCTGAGGTGAGCATGCATATCTATTACTAATCTACTCTTAGAGTGGATCATCACAAAACTGGATCAGTAATCTACTAGTTTCCGAACACAGATAGGGTCGGTAACTGTAGGTAAAGGAACAAAGGAATCCATAATCTTTCTGATCTTAGTAAGTTTCCGAAAACGCCTAATTTAACAAGTTCATATCATTTGAATAAATTATCAAAAACAATAACAAATCATAGCTTGAATTTGAGTATATTTACAATGTCATTCAAATTGCTCTGAAAATCTTGAAATTTAGATGGTACTAAAATAGAATCAGAAATTATTACAATTATTTTGACAATTGTGTTTTTAGAGATCATATTATCAAATGCGAAACTAATTACCAGTTAAAACTTAAAAACCTTATCCAAGAACTCAAAATCAATTATAAGTGAATTCTATACTACATCTAACATTTTGGGAATAATTTTTAAATTACAACTGTTAGGAGTGATATTTCCAAATGCTTTAAAATATTAAACTCAGTGTAATTTGCCATATTAGGTATACCTATAATCGTTTTGGCAAAAAAAGAATAAAGTAGGTAGTTATGATTTTTAAAGTATTTGTGTGAAGATAGAAGATTGTATAATATGTAGAAAATAACATTTTATCTAGTATATAAAGTATAACAATAAAACAAAGAAAAAATATGTAACTTAAGCACTCACCTATCTTTATTCCAAGTAAAGAGTAAATAATTAAATTTATGTAAGGAAGAAGCAATATGAATACCATCATTTTCTTGATTAGGTTTGCAATATGGACAAATCTAAATATATAGAAGAAAAAAAAAATTGTTTCAACAAATAAAAAATGAAAATTCGGGGACTCACCCGCGCGTTTCTTGCATCCATGATTCATCAGACTCATATAAACTAGAATTAAAACAAGTCGAAAGTTTAAAATATTGAACTGCCTTGTATTATTATTGATAAGATAGGGAAAAGTAGGATTGAGTTCACCAAATTATCGATATGTAGATAAAAAAAGCCATAAACCGCGTTATAACTTTCATATTTATTTCAGGTAGGTTTTTATTTCAAGAATTGAATGAATACGTAATCAATATTCCATAAATACAATTAATATATTTATAATTTATAAAAGTTACCTGCATAAAAAATCGTTTAACATTAAAATTAACCTTGAACATAAAAAATGCCCTGCATCATCAAAAGTTCTTTAAAAATAAGTGCCGCATTGCCGGACATTTATTAAAAAGTAAAAAAAATATTATTCCGAACAAACTAAAAAATTAGTGAAGAAATAATGCAAATACAAATCAAACGTTAAAACAGTATAATAAAAACACCAACAGAAAATAAAGCGAAAAATAGTAAATAAATGGAAAATTCAACATTCAACACAAAACAAAAAACAATCAAAACATGAAACGAAAATGAGTCTTCTTTTTCATATCTCATTGAAGGCTTTTTACATATTGGCGAATATATACTTTGATGAGTTTGATATGATAAATGTAGCAAAAATAGTTGAATTGTTGCCAGCAAGGGAAAAATGAGCTGAAAACCACTGCACTGACGAAAAACACTATAATTACTAAGCATGTACTAATCTGTAGAAATAAATATAATTATATAAATTAATACAAGAAAAAAAATTTTAAATTTAATGACGCAATTACTTATTAGTTTAAGCTATTATTCTGACATAATTTTTACGTAAAAGAAGAAAGTGACATGGGACAAGTGACAGATCACTGCACTGACACTGAAAGGTGTAAGCACTGTTTTGGTTTTGCATTTATTGTATTTATATTTTCAATTCCTTTTAAAATAGTTTTGTAAGTAATTTATATTTAATTTAACTAGAATTTAAGAGGTTACCATGCACATGTAGGTATTTTTTAATGCTTTACTTAATATTTTAGGGGACAAAATGGGTTGTGATGGGGGTACCATTCCCAGACGAGATGAATTAGTTAGAGTAAAAAAGAAGCCAGAAGCTAAAGATAAAGACGCTGAATTGGCATTTAAATGGAGATGTTGTACGATAACCCAAGAAATACTTCAACGACCCATTGTAGTTTGTCATTTGGGAAAACTGTATAGCAAAATGTCTTTAATTGAAGCACTACTCGATAGGAGTACCTTACCAGAAGCTTGTAAACATATAAGAAGCTTAAAGGACGTTAAAGATCTAAAACTAACACCAAATCCTGAGTTTGCAAAAAATGAAGACAAGAAGGAAGGTTCTCTGGATTCAAGGTCTGCACCTTACTTATGCCCTGTATTAGGACTTGAAATGAGCGGCAAGTTCAGGTTTGTAAAAAGGGTTCACATTAATGTAAATAACTAGCATACAAATATGTTTCTCATAAAACTGTAAACTTCAAAGCCTCCACAAAATTTGAATTATACCTGGGGATAGTTACCTGCTAAAGTTATTTTAATGTTATTTGTCCTTTTAGGTTTGTGGCAATATGGTCGTGTGGTTGTGTATTTTCTGAACGTGCTTTGAAAGAAATAAACACTAAGAATTGTCACAAATGCACAAAACCTTTTGAAGATGATGATGTAGTTATAATAAATGGAAATGAAGAGGATTTGCAACTAATGAAAGTGAGAATGGAAAAAAGAAGACAGCAAAACAAGAAAAATAAAGAGAAAAAGGTTATTATAAAACAAGAAACAGAAGATACTAATGCTAATGAGCCTTCAGGTTCAGGAATAAAAAGAACTGCAATTGTTTCAAAATGTGATGACGTCTCTAAAAAACTGAAATCTGGCAATGATGTATCTCATTCGAAGATTGGAAACATGATATCTGTGGGAAAAGTAACAAAAGCTGAGGAATTGAGAAAAATGAAACCAGATTACAGTGTGGCTAAAGACAAACATGCATCTAATGTATACAAATCTCTGTTTACCAGTCATCAATCTGAAAAGGATCAAGACAGGGCTCACTGGGTCACTTATAATCCCTTTTATAATTAACATCTAAACATTTTTGTAGGTTCTGGCTCTTTGTCTTTGGTATATATTATTGTTGGTACTATTTATGATAGTAGTAATATAAACCTATATTATTTATAATAAATTGAATTTAACAATGTATGAGGAATATATTTTATTTATTAATGAGATCTAGAAATGGCTTCATAAAACCCATTTTATTTTTTGATATTTTTTTTTGAGAATTGTTTTTTTTTTGTAAAATACTTATAGATTACAGATTCCAAATTAAACCTATAAACATTTTTTATAGGAAATATTGACTTCATAATGACATTCAAATTATGATATAAAAATCTTCTTGATGGTGATGTCAGTCAAAAATCCCTATATACGTAAGGGAACAGTTGATCATATTAATATTTACTCTTTGAAAGAACATACATTTTGAATAAGAATTGACATCTAATCTATTCTTATTTCAGTTTTGGCTGGGATTTACTGTTCAGTTTTATTACTCTCAATAGAAGAAGCTATTTGAGGTAGTGTAGTTAATAAAAATTTTGGGAAAAGAAATCAGATTTTAAATAAGGTATGACAGCAACCGAATTTCAAAGAAAAAAAAAACGTTTCGTGTTTTTGCCTACTTTCTTTGGAAATAAACTTTTGTATTGATAGGGCACTAATCCAAACACTGCGTTTTTTGAACAAAGTGTTTATTGAGTTTGTTTTTATTTTCATTATTTGGTATTCAGTAAATTTTACCAAGCCTATGATAGGTTTATGATTAAGTCGAGGATTAAGTGTATTTATATGGGCAAAGACAGAAACAGAGTTTTTGTAGTCGATTAGTAAATACAGAATGTCATTTAAAACTGAAATAGAAAAAGGTATTCTTGAAGTTCTAACTTTAGTGACTGAGAAAAGAAGGAAGTGTGCTGATGATAAATTGTAAATATTTTTGCCAATGAAAACCTGTCAGAGGATGATAAAAATTCGTTAGGTATGTTTAAATAATATTTAATAAATTGAATTTTTTTCCTTACAAAATATTGAGCAAATTTGTCCCATGCTTGATAAACTGTTTGAATTTCCTCTTTGCATTGTGTTAACTTCTAAATTTTGTAATCGGGCTTGATTGTTATCTTCATCTTGAATTCGCATTTCAATGTTCTAACAACCTTGTGTAGAACCCAGGCAACTTTTATTATTTCTACAAGTTCTAAATCCACATTTAGTGGTCTTTGAAATATTCTCATTTTGCTGGCCAAAATTTCTATCAAGCCTATGTAGGGAGTGCATCAGTGGTTAGTTTGGACTTCCGGATCCAAAGATCTGGGGTTCGGATCTTATCAGTGCCAGGATTTTTCAAATTAATTTGATTAAAAATTAATTCTAATGCACAGGTATACGATTCCTGGCTGGTTTATTCACTGTTGGGTTTTAATTAATGGTGTTGTGTCTAAAGTGACAGTGGGAAACAGTATGAAGACTAGAGAGAAGAAACAACGAAACCTACGTAGAACACACATTTCCATAAAACTAATCAAACATTTTTTATCATTATTTTTAAACTACTTAACTACCAAATTTTTCAATTGTTTGACATCCACTAGACAGAAAACATATTTGGTCAAATGGCTGTGGGTGGCATAAAACTGCATAACATTGTTAGATTTAGATTCGACTTTGAGAATATTTTATAGTAAATATAAATATTTTTAAATTAAATCATTTAATATTTCTGAATTTGAGTTTGATCGTTTTGGATTTTGATTTCGAGAAGTAATTTTTTTCTTTGCCGCCGTTTAATATTTTTTATACAGATCTGACTGAAAATATTTTATAAATAATATTATTTTTTTTAATTTTCAATTTTTATCCGATTTTAATTAGAATTTGAATTCATTAAGAAATCACCATAGTTACTAAGTTTTTCTATTAATACCTCAACACCCGTGTGTTCATAACTTAATTCATTATTCTTTATATTCATCGTTATTATAGCCATTGGTCAGTGCTAATTAATTTAACCATTTTCCGCGTTTAAAAGTTGAAAACCAGACATGGGATTATGATTACGAATATTTTTTCGATTTGTTTTAGTGACAACCGAATTATTTATTTTTGCTTTATTTAAAACCATACCGAGTGTTGACTTATGGGCGTGATAGACGTTGGTCAGTGCTAACTCATTTAACCATTTTCCGGATATAATGAAAAGGGATTTACGATTAAGATACTTTTTGCGCCAATTTATTTCATGTTTCAGTACTTTATTTACCGATTTTTTTTTATTACATTTCCGTGGTTTCTTTACTATTTTTCGGATTGATTCTTTAAAAATAGCCAATGTTATATTTGTGTACAAGGGTGATGATCATAATTGTCCTTCTGTCGACTCATTTCTTTATTACCCACTTTGGCAAAAATTATTTCAAAATTGGTTAAGATGAGAATGAAAAAAAAAACACGGAGGGCTATCTATATTCCTGTTTGGGTTTCAATCGGGTAAAAATACTACCGATGCTATGTTTTCTGTTCTAAAGAAATTTTACCTCGATTTAAATTAAAAGGGTAGCTGCTGCAGTGTTTTGTAATTTATTCAAAGCTTTTGACTGTGCGTAAATCATAAAATATTGCTGAGTAAGGTAGAAAAATATGGATTCCGAAAAATAGTTGTAAAGTGGTTCCACTTTTAATTGGAGACTAGAGTACAAAGAGTTTCTTTCAATAAGCAAACGTCAACGCTTGCTACGATTCACTATGGGGTTCCTCAAGGATCCGGTCTGGAACCGGTTTTATTTAAATTTATGTTAATAATATAATGTCATTATTAATATGGATACTTCGCTATATTTGCTGATGATACGCCGGTACTATAGGAGAGTGAGAATATTTGAAGAATTGACTAATATGATTAACAATGACATTATTAAGATTAAAGAATAGTGTAATTCAAATTATTTATCTTTTAATATATCAAAAACAAATATTGTCTAATTCAGTGGCGATATCGGTATAATTTCAGTTGAAAATAAATTCTAGAAATATTTATTAAAGATGAATGTATTCACATTCGAAAGCTTGGAATAAACTTATAAGAGTTAGCATATCGTTTTGATGCAAACCCAATAACTCCAAAGTTCATTTCCTAACGAGTCAGCAAAGACTTATTTCTTGCATTTTATTCTTTTTCTTTGAATTTTAATTTTTACTTATATTATTAAGTTATCTATCTTTGTTAATAAGAATGTAATTAATTCTTCAACGATTAAGAAATTTTGCCTTGACTTGATCTAATATCTGTGCATCGGAGGTAAACTGCACTATGTCATTCTTGTCAACTTTTCAGTAGAGCAGATTAAATGTTTGAGCACTTTTTGGGCTCCATAATTACATATTACAAGAAATACATTTAGACACCCATTTACCCAGGTAGCAATGAATATTGGCCTGATATAGAAAGTCAATATTGCCCCAAGATTACAATGTTGGCTTGACAAACTATTTCAATATTGGCTGCGCATCAAAGTGCTAACGCCTGAAAAACGAGGGCCAACGTTATATTCAAACATTAATTCAATATATTTTTTCGATAAAATGCCAATATAAGTAAACAAAATTGGATGAAGATTAACGTGTATATTGAATACAATATAGAAATTATGCCGCACGACAAACAAAACTTAATATTGAGTTTCATCATTGGTCCTATATTTGTCTTTAATTTTGCACCTACATTGTTCTATAATATTGGTTTAAGTTATGCATTCATTCTAAAAACAATGCTAGGTTAAAAACGTATTTAAATATTGGCTGCGGATCAAAGTGCTAACGCCTGAAAAACAAGGGCCAACGTTGTATTGAAACATTTATCCAATATATATTTCAGTAACTCGCCAATATAAGTAAACGATATTGAGCTTATATTAAAGTGTAGATTGAATACAATATAGAAATTATAATGCAGTACAAACCAAATTCAATATTCTTTTTCAATATTGGTCCCATTTTACGCCATCATTATCATGCAATATTGGCTTTCAATTTGAAACCAATATCGGCAAATTTATGTACAACAGGATAGGTCCAATTTTTATTGTCATACTATATTGGTATGAAATAAATACTGGAATCTAGTTTAAAACCCATTTTACCATTTAGTTTAATATCAATATTGGCATTCAATATTAATTCTCAAACCTTTCCACAAATATTCCTGGGATTGATATGAACAAAAAAGTAAAACACTATTTTTTCACTGAGCGTATATATAAAGTCATTACATATTTGTTTGTAGGATAACGCTATCTAAACTGAGCCAAATATGCATTTTATACTTATTTTTTCTGGCCAAATACTTTAATGAAAAACGCTATTTTTACATGTTTGTTTATGTTGATCCCAGAAGCCCTTTTTTCCTTATTTTACTGGGCTATACAGCTTTTAAAAGCCATTTTTAAATATTTCAATGATTGCATGTGGACGTGAATAGTATAAGGGCTATAATAATAAAACAATTATAAAACTTCATAAAAAAGTTTAATATTACTTAAAAAAAAGGACCAACACATATTAATATTACAATAACATTAAGCAAAACAAGGAGTTAAAATTAAAAATTAAATTTTTGTTATGCAAAATACATGTGATGAAAGATCGGAAGAACTTAAAATTTACAAAATTTATTTTAATTATAATTCAGTATGCAGTAGAAACACCACAACATTCTTTTCAAGATTAAATATCAATTATTTTATATTAATTTCTTTAACAGAAACCCTTTCCAATGTTTGTATGTGATGACATGAACTTTAAAATACCCAAATCTCTTAAGTCAATTGCTACCTCATCAGGGAAATAGTTTATCGGATTTGTATAGCAATAGCCATCTAGAAAAACATTACTTTCAGTTTGTATGACTTGGGTAATTTATCATTTTTTATTATCAAAGTTCTGTTTTTAGAACAATTATTATTGGAAAGAATATCTGAATAAAATATGTTCATTAGAAAATATTGATACATTTGATATGTTGGATATATTTGTATTAACAGAGGTGTGAGATTTCTGTTCTTTATGGCATA